GGCTGGTTGAATTTTCTTTCCTAGGAATTCGGCTTTGGAGCAGGAGACACAAAGACAGAGTAAGCTCATTGTGGAAATTCATTCACCCCAATGACTGCACCTGAGTGAGACTGAGGTGCTCTCCCTGCTTCAGAGGACCCTCTGAGCTGCCTAGCTCTTGTCCAAGTTCTGTTCTAGGTCTTCCCTTCCAACCTGAGGCATCCATGGCTACCCAATCACTTCCCTTTCCTTAATTTAGCCTGAGTCAATTTCTGTTGCTTGCCATCAATGAATCTGGCTGATACACCAGCTCATGCTAAGGAAGAAAGAATTCCCCATTTCCCTTCTGAATGAGGGATTCAAAGACCAAGTGTTAACTGGCCAGGATTCCTTTTTATTTTATTTTATTTTTGGCTGCACTGGTTCTTTGTAGCTGCATGCAGGTTTTCTCTAGTTGTGGCAAGGAGGGGCTACTCTTCATTAAAGTGCATGGGTTTTTCATTGTAGTGCCTTTCTTGTTACAGATCATAGGATCTAGGCTTGTGGGTTCCAGTAGTTGCAGCATACCAGCTCAATAGCTGTGGCTCACAGGCTTAGTTGGCCTCATGGCATGTGGAATCTTCCCTGACCAGGGATTGAACCCACATTCCCTGCATTGGCAGGCAGATTCTTATTCACTGCACCACCAGGGAAGTCCTGCCCAAGATTCTTAACCAAAAAAGAAAAGAAGCCTATAAAATTTGCTAGCCCTAACCATCTGCCAGAGAAGGCAATGGCAACCCACTCCAGTACTCTTGCCTGGAGAAGCCCATGGACGGAGGAGCCTGGTAGGCTGCAGTCCATGGGGTTGTGAAGAGTCCAACACAAATGAGCTACTTCACTTTCACTTTTCACTTTCATGCATTGGAGAAGGAAATGGCAACCCATTCCAGTGTTCTTGCATGGGGTATCCCAGGGATGGCAGAGCCTGGTGGGCTGCTGTCTATGGGGTTGAAGAGAGTCAGACACGACTAAAGCGACTTAGCAGCAGCAGCGACCATCTGCCAGGTGGCAACTTCCAATCAGAAGACAGAAAGCCTAAATTTGTTACTGAAAGGGTATAGTGGGTCTGGCTGCTAGCTACTCAAAAGCCAATAAACAGGCCAGGTTGGTTGAAAGGAAGTTTGCTTTATTTTAGATGCTGGCAACTGGGGGGTGGGGGGAGGAGGCGAGGGTGGTGGACATCTGTCCAAAGGCCAACTCCACCCCCCCACCCCCAATAAGCAAGGGGTGAGAGCTTTCATAGACAGGGGTGGGCAAGGTGGGTCTACATGCAGAAACAGCACAGTCATCTCTAACAGTCATCTTTAAACTGGTCACCAGTGGTCTGACCAGCATCATCTTGATTGTTTTAGGTACAGTTAATCTTCAGTTCCAGGGTTCATTTGTTCCCATTTCTTTGAGGTCAATTCTCAGAATTGTGACAGCTCATGTCCCGGGTACAGTATGCTCATCATGTTAACTTCTCCACCTGGTGTTTCAGTATTTATAAGACAGCTCACAGGATATGGTTCAGAATATTATCTATGTGCTGTGCTGTGCTGAGGTTAGTCACTACTAACCTACTCTTTGTGTCCTACTCTTTGCCACCCCATGGACTGTAGCCCTCCAGGCTCCTCTGACCATGGGATTCTCCAGGCAAGAATACTGTAGTGGGTTGCCATTCCCTTCTACAGGGGATCTTCCTGACCCAGGAATGGAACCCAGATCTCCTGCATTGCAGGTGGATTCTTTACTGTCTGAACCACCGGGGAAGCCCAAGAACACTGGAGTTGGTAGCCTATCCTTTCTGCAGGGGATCTTCCCAACCCAGGAATCAAACCGTGGTCGCTTTCATTGCAGGTGATTCCTTACCATCTGAGCTACTAGGGAAGCCCCCAAATTATCTCTAGCCCTTGAGAAGGAACTAAAAGTCCTTGACTATGCTTAACGGCTACATTATTATTTAGTCTCCTTTGGCTGTTTTCCTTTGTTTCAGCATTTCTCACTTCTCTGATTAAACTTATTCTTTGACTAAAGTTTTCCACAGGCAAAAGGCAGGCAGAAGACACGGTGGGGATGGGGCGAGGACCATAAGGTCTTGCTCCATTTCAAGTTCACTTGACAAAGTTAGGCCACCTGGATGAAGGGAGGAGTTGAATTTCAAGTGTTTACTCAACTCACAAGGAAAGCCTAGAGGTTACCTACTCACTATTGCAGCAGTCCTCAGATTTGTTCTGGGAACAGAATTCCACAGTGGAAGTTGCGGTGAAAGACATTTGGAAGGAGAGTGATAACTTCCTTGGACACATAAGGCTAAACTGTAAGCTGGCTAATTTGCTGGAGAGAAAGCAAAGAAAGAAAAACCTGTGAAGAGGCCCCCTTGGTTCAGAAAAAAGTCTGTATCAGTGACCCATAAAGGACTTAGGTTTGACTGGGCTTCATAAAGCAATTTATCCCCTGGGACATTGTTGAAAACAATAGAGCAGTCAGCCAGAAATGTTGGAGATTCACAACAAGGTGTTTTGAGACAAAGAGAACCCTTCCCAAACTTCTGTCATCACAGGATAGTTGTGGTCATGCTCAAGGCTGTACCCCTTGAGGTGCAACATCTGAGGCATCACACTATGAGGGGTGGAGGGACCTCACTAAAATTACCCAGTCAGTCACTAAACATGAAAACAAGCAATTCATCTCTAAAAGGCAGTAACATACCTGGGGAGGTGAGTGTGACCAGTAGTCATGTTTGCTACAATGTATTATCTAAAATAACCAGTCTCCAACAAAAAATCACAAGACATAAAGAAATAGGAAAGAAGAGGGAATTTCCTGGTGATCCAGTGGTTAGAATTTAGCCCTTTCACTGTCAGGTTGTAGGTTCAATCCCTGGTCAGGAAACTTAGATCCCACATGCCAAGAGGCAACAAAGCCTGTGTGCTGTGACTAGAGAAACCCCCAAACCCAAACACAATGAAGACCCAGTGCAGTCAAAAATAGATAGGAAATCTGAATAAACCATAGACTTTAGGAAAAACAAATAAATAAAGATTATGTGGAAATTGATTGCATCAATAGAGAACCCACACACTTATGGCCAATTAATCTACAATGAAGTATGCAAGAATACACAATGAAGAAAAGACAATCTCTTCAACAAGTGGTGCCAGGAAAACTGGACAGCTACATGTAAAAGAATGAACATTTTCATTTTGTCATATATAAGCTTAAATGGATTCAAAACCTAAATACAAAATCAAATACTATAAAACTCCTAGAGGAAAATGTAGGCCACTCTTTGACAAAACTTGCAGCAGTAGTTTTTTGGATCCATCTCTTAGAGTAATGGAAACAAAAGCAAAAATAAACAAATGGGACCTATTAAACTCTAAATTGTTTGCACAGCAAAAGAAACCATAAAATGCAAAGATAACCTATGGAATGGGAGAAAATATTTGTAACTCATACCAACAGCAAGGGCTGAATTTACAAGACATAAAAACAGTTTACACAGCTCAATAAAAAAAATTTAAAAAAAAATCAAAAATGAGCAGAAGACCTAAGTAGACATTTCTCCAAAGAAGACAGACAGGGGGCCAACAGAAACATAAAAAGATGCTCAACATCACTAATTATTAGAGAAATGCAAATCAAAACTACATTCAGGTAGTTTTGATGATGGCCATTCTGACCTCACTCTGGTCAGAATGGCCATCATCAGAAAGTCTACAAGTAATAAATCCTAGAGAGGGTATAGAGAAAAAGGAACCCTCCTACACTGTCAGTGGGAATGTAAATTGGTACAACCACTATGCTGAACAGTAAGGAGGTTACTTAAAAAACTAAAAATAGAGTAACCATATAATCCAGCAGCCCTGCTTCTGAGTATATACCCAGAAAAGACAACTATAATTTGAAAATATAACATGTACCCCAATGTTCAATAGCACTATTTATAATAGCCCACATCTTTATCTAATCATATATATATATATGGAGCTTCCTTGGTGGTTTAATTGGTAAAGAATCCGCCTGCAATGCAGGAAATGCAGATGACGCGGGTTTCATCCCTGGGTCAGGAAGATCCCCTGAAGGAGGGAATGACAAGCCACTCCAGTACTCTTGCCTGGAGAATCCCATAGATAGAGGAGCCTGGTGGGCTACAATCCATAGGGTCACAAAAAGTCATACGAGTCTGAGCAACTGAACAACAACAAAACCCTAACCCAAATGGTCTCTTCAGCTGGTCTGAGAGCTCCTGGGGGTATATTTGTGATGTACCCCAGGTTCTTGGAGTAACATGCAATGCAATAATTATTTCATGACCACATGTGTGAGAGCTGCTGAGTTGTCTTGTTCACCACTAAATCCGTAGCATCTAGAACCACATGTGGACATACAACATGTTTACTGAATGAACTTATGAGTCAAATGAGAGTGCTCTCTCTTCTGAAACCCAACAAAGGAAAAGAAACTGAAGCAAAAGTCTTGCATGATATTTTATTCTGAGAGGGAAAGGCAGTGGAAGGAGTTCAGTGAGAGAAACTGGAGAGGAGACTCCTGGATTCAGGAATGAAGAGCAGGCCGAGGATGCTGGACTGTGCTTTTTCCCCAGGGTGGGGTCAGGGGACCCAAGGATCAGATGAGACCTAGTGTGGAGAGAAGAGACAGGTTGATCAGGGCTCTGATTTCTCCACTATCTCAGTCTCAGGCCATTTCCTTGGTGTCAACCTCATCTTACGTGATGCTCTCATTCAATCCTCATTTCAACCTCAGAAATAGAAATCATTATCGCCCTTTCACAGGTAAGGAAACTGAAGCTCAAAGAGGTTACGTTACTTGCCCAAGGTCACATAGCTGAGGAGAAATGGAGACCTGATTTTACTCCAGGATTGTTTTCGGGAGTGTGGGGAAGGGCAGGGGAAGGTTGCCTCAGGCTGTTAGGAGTTTCCCTTTCATGGGAAGGCTGTCAGGGAATGAGTCCCTGCTGTTGCCTCTGCACATACCTGCCTTGCTTGTGCACAGCCTGATGTCAAAACAGATGGCCTGAGGCTTTTTTCCATCTAAGATGTCCAGAGAGATGACACGGAGAAATTTCTTCATAATTGACTTGCACACACCTCTCAGCATCTTCATCTTGCTGCACACCTTGGAGGCCGCCTCTCTGATGGTTTTCTGTAGCAGCAGCGCCAGGGTGGGAAACGGGCCTCAGGTGAGCCTTGCTGGGCGCTGCCTCTCTGCAGGCCCTGGCAGACTTGGGCTCTCAGCGGGTCTGACAGTGGGAGTGCTGGGTCCCGGGAGTTGGTGCCAGGTGGTAGTGGGAACAGGGACTTGAGAGACAAGGCTCAACCCCCCTCTCCATCCCAAGCCTGGCCAGCAGGAGCTCTGGAAAGGACGATTGACCCTGCCATGTCTTAGCTCCTCTATACCCGGGCCCTGTCTTCTGGGTGGCGAGTGGTGCCCAGACCCACTTTAAAGGCTCTGCCTATATAGCTTCTGGGTCCAGGGCCAGACTGTGGGCTCCATCTGCTGGGGGTGGGGGGTGTGGTGGGTTAGGAGGGGATCCAAGCTTGGAGCCTTGGGCCATTGCTTTTGAAATATCTTCTTCTGACATCTCCCATGGAAGGGGATAAATCTGAGTACCCGAAGGTGAAGGTGGTGATGCTGAGCAGGTTGGGGGAGCCAAGGAGAGGGAGGGAGGGAAAGTGAAACTATGGTTCAGGTGATGATACATCCACTTGCTAAGTATTCACTGAAAGCTAAGTACATCCCACTTTCCAGCTCATTTAAAAAGCCTATGAAGGGCTTCTCAGCCCTCCCCACTCCACTTGGGGGCATCTCTCCACCCGCCAGGTTCCAGAAGTCTCCCATCTCACCTCATTAGGCTGATCTCCCACCATTTCCTCCAGATGTTGTATTATCTTCCGACAGTTATCACAGAGTAGGCCCAGCTCCTCTCTTTGGAGCACCAGGTCACCCTATTAGGAAAGGAAGCCCCTTAGGGTGGGCTCTCAGATACCCCAACTTCATAAGGGCACCAGGAAGTGTCCCCTGGGAGCTTTCAAGCCAGTAGGATGACCCATGATCTGTCTGTCCATATGAGGACCTGAGCCAGACTGGCTGGCCCCTGCCCATCTCTCTGCCTGTCTTAGAGGGGCTGAGAGGCCCCATGACCTGCCCCCACACCCACAGCACCATTCCCAGCCCGACATCTGTTCTACCGTCAGACAAGGAGGAGGCTCTTGGGGAGGGCCCAGCCACCAGTGTAGCCCCCACCCCACAGTCAGGTACCAATGTGCACAAAACCAGCATCTTCAGCTCCCAGCCCTGCCTCCCCACCCCCTGGCCAGTTCGGTCTCCAGGCCCTCGCCCCTGGCACTGCCCAGGGAGGAGAGGAAGGAGAGGGATGGTGGGTGGGCAGCAGGAAGCCATCCGTGTACCTGGGGATCCTCCGGGGACAGGCCCTGGCACAACTCGTCTCCTTCACACAGATGGGCCGTCGCCTGATCGTGGTGCTCAGGGGTCAGACCGGAAAAGGCCAGCCCTGGGGAAGAAACAGTATCAGCAGCCCTCCACAGACAGAGGGAGAGAAGTCACTTCTCTTGGCTGGGGAGAGCCCAGGAGGCAGCTGGGGCCCAGGAGAGGGAGGAGGCCTTGTGAGGGGTCTTGGGGGCCTCCTACCCTACTCTGCCCTGGGGCTGCTCTGACCCACGCCAGGTGCCCTTGGAGCTTATGCTCGGGTCCATCAAATCTGAGAAAGCAGGGCTGGGAGGAGGGGCCATCTGGATCTATCCCAAGGGGAGCGTCCTCACCTGGGGCGACCAGGAGCACTGAGGCGATGAGCAGGACGGCCCAGGAGGTCATGTTGAGGCTGCTGCCCAGGCTCCCTCCACAGCCTGTTTTATAGAGGCCGGGAACCTGGCAATCTGACCAGACAGGGTCCTCTTCCTCTTGTTGGCCACCTCCCGTGTCACTGGGTTTACCACAAACACTGGTGCCGGTATGTGGAGAAGTGGGGGGAGGAGTGTACCTCAGAGCTACCACACACCCCTCTCCACCCCCCCTGTCCAGTATTAGGACTTTCTGAGCTGAGCTGGTGTTGGTGGAGAGCATTGGCCGCCATGATGCCCACCCTGCCCTGATGTGGTAATGGGAGAAGTCCCCACTACCGAGGGGTCGGGTAGAGCCCTTGGCCAGGTGAGCATCCGTGCTCCTCTGCCTTATCTCTTCCTCCCACCCCAGAGGTCTGGGCTGGTGTCGCTACATCATCCTTCTCCTCATATCCCAGGTCTCCTTCCAGTCATTTAAGCCAATGTAGCACTACATGATTCAGATGCAGAAAAAGCTGCCCTCAGGATAGATCCTGACAGCGCCTCCTCCCAGCCCTGCATTCTCGGGCTTCATGGACCCTGATCATGAGCTCCTTGGGCACCTCGGGTCCCCTAGACCCACGCCAGCCTTCTCACCATCCCCAAGGAGGCTGGGCCTTTCGCCTAGAGCCGGGTTCAGCCCAGCCTGGCAGTGACCTGTCTGATGGACAGAGAGAGCCAATGGGAAGGACGGGAGCCCCAGCCAGGGGTCTGGTCCCAACTTCTGGGCCTCTGAATAGTCATCTGTGTCATAAAGGCCATTGGCCCTCATCTGTAAGAAAAATACAGGCTACCCAGTTAAATTTGAATATTAGATAAAATTAATTTCTTAGTATCCATATGTCCCAAATATTGCATGGAATATACTTACACTGAAAAATATTTGTTGTTTACCTGAAATTCTAATTAAACTGAGCATCCCATAGTTTGTCTGGCCCCTTGAATCCTTTCTGGTTTATTACCCCAATCCCAGGGTAGCAGACACACTCACACTAACTCATGTCACACACTTACACACAGTTACAGGAACTCAGGGGCATACACTCTCCAAAGCACTGACAAATTCACACACACTCATAGCCACTCACACTCCCAGATACCCACACACACATACTCACACATTAATTCACAACCACATACTTTCAAATACTCATAAATTCACACATAAACACACCACCTTTATTCTTGCCTATTGTGGAAGTCGCTGAATGCCACATAAGGAGTAAGGAATTTAGGCATTTTTAAGCACTTTGGCTCTCTTACTTTTATTTTAATTGAAACAAATTTTAATTATATAAGTAAGAAACAATAAATGAAACCACTTATAAGTTCACCAAGCAGATTTACAGGAATATTGACAGATGACAACTAGACTCATAGTGGTCATCATTTTTAAATTTATAGAAATATTGATTCTCTATGTTGTGTACCAGGAAATTCATACTGTTGTCGGTCAATTATACTTTAAAAACAAACTCTTAGAAAAAAGAGGTTGGATTAATGGTTACCAGAGGCTGGGGTGGAAGGGTAAGGGGTAGGATTAGATGAAAGTGGTTGTCAGAAGGTACAAACTTCCAGTTATAAGAAAAGTAAATACTAGGGATATAATGTATAATATGATAAAGATAATGAACAATGCGGTATATTATAAGTAAAAATTGTAAAGAAAGTAAATCCTAAGAGCTCTCACTTCAAGGAAAACTTTTTGTCTATTTAATGTTGATTTCTATGAGATGATGGGTGTTCGCTAAATCCACTGTGATCATTTCATGATGAATGTAAGTCAAATCATTATGTTGTACGCCTTAAAATTATATAATGCTGCATGTCTGATATCTCAATACATTGGAACTTAATTAATTATTAAAACTTTATAGGAATATCCATTTATACATTTAAATGAATATATTTATAAATAAGTATATGTTTATATAAAGTTATATATCACAAAAAATGCTTTGGGACAGCTTTTTAAATTTAACAAGATATCATGAACATCATCCCAGTCAATAAATTTAGATTTCCTTCATCATTTCCATTGGTTGTCTCATATTCTATTTTAGGAATGAACTCTAACTGGAGTCCTCAATTTTGGGACTCATGAGGCTTCCACTTACAGAGCAGAGGGGGAGAGCCCTTCAATAGCTAGTGCAATAGTCTGGGTGAGTGATACGAATGCCTTCTTCAGACTGGTTGCCTCATAATCTCAAGACGACTACTGTAGCCCCTCCAGGCCCTAGGGCCCCAGCCCAGGTGGAAAAATTAGAAGAGTGAAGCATGAAACGGAGGTACTTATGTATATTTTAAAAAAGCAAGTATTTCCCAGAGACCTTCAGCTTGTCTCATCAGTATGTCCCAGCAGGTACCCACAACTGTGAAGGGCTATACTGAAGGATGCCTTTGGCTGGACTTTGAACAAAACTGAGATTCTGCCAGGAAGGACAGATGAGAAGTCAGGGGAATTAGGTAGGTAACAGCAGTGTCAGCTACAGAAGGACTTCTTGCTAAAAAGTATTTTGAAGGAAAAATTGATGGGATTTTGTAACTAATCAGATACAAGAGACAGAGGACACAGGAAGCCAAAGTTTTAAGTATTTGAAGGCTGAGGGGCCAGTGGTGAAGCAGGAAAATTAGGAAATGGAGCTTGTGTGTGAAAGTTGAGTTTGAGGTGTTGCATTTGTGTGGTGTGCTTGAGGGCGGAGTTGCCTCTGCTGTCAGATCCACCCTTGATTCCTAGAAGTGCCCTGAGACCAGATAGTCAGCTAATGGATTCGCCTCCTATAAGGAAACCGGGACTCTAGAGAAGCCCAGTGAATGCTCCAAGGACACACAGCTCAAACCACGTAAGTCTGGGGATTTGAACTCAAACTCCAAAATCCAAGTTCGTCCTCACTCCACATTGGCCCTATCTCTAGGTTTCTAGGCCAAAGTTGCTTGCCATCTGGCCGCCAGGCCAGTTGCTGTCCCCGCTCTCCTCCACAGGCCTCCTCTTCCCTAACCACGTGAAGAGACCATGGTGTATGTGTGGAGACCACATTAATGAAGAGGGAAAAGCCCAAGAAGGTGACTCATGTCTTTCTTTACCGAATTCATTAAACATATATATCAGTAAATACACACATATACAAATATCTTTGGGGAACTCAGTAAGATCAGATAGTCCAACAAACCCTTTTCTGGGGTGCTAAGGGGTATGGACAAGGGGTCCTGGGGTCCTACGTGACAAGAACCTAGCACAAGTCCACAAGTCCGATCTGTTTGTGGTCGTGGGGTCCCATGGACCAGCCTGCTGCAAGTCAATCTTCTTCAAGAAATCTCTGATTTCCCCAATGTCATGAAGATATCCTCTTGTTTCTTCTAGGAGTTTTATAGTTTTCTACATTTAGGTCTGTGATTCATCTCAAATGAGCTGGGTTGAAGTTCTGTTGCTTCAGATCAATTTGTTGAAAAGATTTTTATTTTCCCGTTCAATTGCTTTGACATCTGGGTCAGAAATCAAATGACTGTATAAATGTGGGTCTGTTCATAGGTTCTTTATCACAGCAAGTACTGTATCAATAATAATAGCAAAACACTCTGACTCTTTTAAATGGGCACAATATTTGAACAGTCACTTCATAAAGGAAGAATAGCCAATAAATATTTGAAAAAGTATTAAATACAATAACTCATGAGGGAATTCTATGTTAAAACTACCATGAAATGATGGTATCAAAATGGCTATAATTAAAATAACAAGACTTTGCTTACATGTGGAATCTAAAAAGGAAACAAACAAAAGAAAACAAAAAACCAGAACTCATAGAAACAGAGCCCTTTTCTGGGCATAGGGCACGATGTGGGAAGAGGACAAAATAGATGAGAGTGGTAAAAAAGTACAAGCTTCCAGTTATAAAGCAAGTCCTGGATGTGTAACACATAGCACAGTGACTATAGTTAATAATACTATATGTATATTTGAAAGCTGCTGAGAGAAATCTTAAAAGTTCCCATCACAAGAAAAAAATTATAACATGTGGTGATGAATGACAACTAGGCTTCTGATCATAGTATTTTTGCAATCTATATTACATCAAACCATTATGTTGTAAACCTGAAACATATGTCATATGTCAATTACATCTCCAATTTTAAAAAATGAATAATAATATCCATTGTGCAAGGATGTACTGAGATATTAAAAATCATATTAAATATTTGCCATATGTGGGGGGAGAAAAAGACAAACAATACTAAGTGTTAATAAGGATGTGGAGCAACGGGTACTTCAAAAGTTGTCAGTGAGAATATAAAAAGAACTTTTTAAATGTAGATTGACAGCGTTTCATAGAGTTAAGGATACACATGCCCTATAACCTCTAATGTCTACCCACACTAATGAAAACATATGCACATACAAAGATTATTACAAAAATGTTCACAGAAACATGACCCAGCACCTACACTCCTAGATATATACTCCAAAAAACTGAAAACAGAGATTCAAAGAGACACTTGTTCATCAATGTTCATCAAAACATTATTCAAAATAGCCAAAAGTGTGAATGACCCAAGTGTCCATCGATAGATGAATGGATCAACAAAATATGGTATATATATATACAATGGAATATGATTCAACCATGGAAAGGAATAAAGTTCTGGTACAGGTAACAACATGGACGAACCTTGAAAG